AAGTCTTTAAAGTGAAACCCCAACCGTGATTATTAATCTCCATTGCCGTGTTAGAAATATTAAGATTTCATTTCGAGGAATTATTTTAGATTTAGGTTCAATTTAGAGACATCAACTGTAGAATAAACAGATGCAAAGCAGGTTTAATCCCTTAAAATGCACAGCTGGGGATTGCTAGGGAGCAGACTGAAAAATTAGCACAGAGAAAGAAGGTGAGCCTCCAGCAGCTACAGCTGGGTCATGGAATATCCTGAGCTGGGAGGAACCCCCGGGATCATGGAAGACCAACCCCAGACATCCAACAGAGCAGCAGCTCTCTGTCCCTGTCAGCATGAGGTGCCACTCACAGATCACAAAAACACATCTGAAGAGCCCCCAAACCACAGGATTCCCACTGCACCTCCTTCCACTGAAACTCTCAAGTGTTTGTGAGGCAGAATTCCCTCACCTTCCTGGCCAAAGGCACCTCAAAGCACACAGATAGCTGAGTAAACAGTACTGCTCACTCTTCTCCTGGCAAACTTTGGGATAGGGGCCAGATTCCTTCAGGGAGGAGCATGGTCTGTCCCAAAAATCAACTCTGCCACGCCACTCCCTCTCAGGAGGGCACAAACTCCACTCCTGGCTCCAGGTCTCACTGTGGGTGTAGAGCAAGCCAAGCCCTTCCCTGGCCCACCTTCCCACCCCGGCCACTGGAGGTGTGTCTGATCCCTCTGTCCCAGGATCTTTCTGCAGAGTCAACAACGAGGAGCTTTCCCCAGAGCCTCCCAAGTGCAACAAAAAACTGGGACAGAGATCCAGCCAGGGAGCTGCCCTGCTCAGATGGAGCTTGGATAAAACCCACACCTCCAGCTGGGCTGCCCTGGGCTTGGAGCAAGCCCAGGAAGGCACGGAGATGCTCCAGGGACCGGGGCCAGGTTGGAGAGCTGGGGGTGCTCAGCTGGAGAGGAGAAGGCTCCAGGGAGAGCTCAGAGCCCCTTGCAGGGCCTGAAGGGGCTCCAGGAGAGCTGGAGAGGGACTGGGGACAAGAGATGGAGGGACAGGACACAGGGAATGGCTTCCCACTGCCAGAGGGCAGGGATGGATGGGATATTGGGAATTAGGAATTGCTCCCTGGGAGGGTGGGCAGGCCCTGGCACAGGGTGCCCAGAGCAGCTGTGGCTGCCCCTGGATCCTTGGATGTGTCCAAGATCAGGCTGGATATTGGGGCTTGGAGCATCCTGGGACAGTGGAAGGTGCCCCTGCCATGGCAGGGGTGGCACTGGATGAGCTTTAAGGTTCCTTCCCACCCAAACCCTTCCAGGTTTCCAGAAAAACTCACTCCTCACCTGCAAGGTGTGAAACAGCCCCATCCATCCATCCATCCATCCATCCATCCATCCATCCATCCATCCATCCATCCATCCATCCCCTCTCCTGCTCCAATATTCCATGCTGAAGGATGAGGCCTGAGTTCCCCCTGCATCCCCCCAGCACCAGCTCCAACACAAGGAGTCCTCAGCAGCTCCTGAGCTCCTTCCAGCTGCAGGAGTCTGCAGCAACAAGTTCCTTTGGCAGGATCCTCCCAGAAAAGTCAGCTGGAGATGGAGCAGCTCCACAGCCAAATCCCACGGGAGTGCTGCCTCAAAGCCCCCTGATCCCAGTGGGAAGTGACACCCGGCCACAGCACCGAAATTCACAATTATTTACTTTATAGTTATTGCTGCAACCTCGGGAAACCAACCAAACCAGAGCCAGGACATTCACACTCTGCTGGAAGTGGGAAGCTCACACGGCTGCCCAGAGCAAATCCTCAATCCCTAGGAAAAGCAGGAAGTTCTTCAGGGCTGAGAGCAGATTTCCAGAGCAGGGAAATCGGTGATGACAAACTCCCCTCGGCTGATGGGCGCTGGGAGCCCCTCAGGGTTTGGGTCAGGATAATGAAATATAACCTACTAAATGCAGAGGCTGGACTGGGTTTCAGTGTTTGTGTGGCCAAGACCTCTGGACCAGCTGAAAAAGCAGAGCAGATCCCAGGGTTTGGCAGCAACGCCCTGGGAGAAGGTTTTACAAGTTCCAAGGGCCCCAGAAAGGGAAATTATCACAGACAAGCCAGACCCAACCCCCTGGAGCATCTCTCAGCCTCATGGTGAGCTAAGAGCTCAGGAAAATGCCAAAATTCTGTTCCTGGGCGTTTGTGGAGCACTTGGGAGTTGGATTCCTGTGGATTCAAGCCTTGGCACTGAGATTCCTCAAGGCCTGTGACAGCCACAGCGTAGTGGTGACTTGGGCTGGGATGGCAGGACAGCACTGGATTAGAGCCCAAAGGAAGCTGGATTGTAATGAGAATAAAGCTGAATTATAACCAGGATAAAACTGAATTATACCCAGAATGAAGCTGAATTATAGCCAAAGTATAGGATGAATTATAAGCAGAATAATGCCAAATTGTGCCCAGAACGAGACTGAATTATAAACAGAATGCAGCCAAATTATAACCCAAATAAAGCTAAATTACACCTGGAGTGAAGATGAATTATTGCCAGAATAAGGCTGAATTATAAGCAAAATATGGACGAATTATAACCAGAATAATGCCAAATTATACCCAGGATAAAGCCAAATTAGACCCAGAAAAAAAAAAGCCAATTTATGACCAAAACAATGCTGAATTACACACACGAGAAGGATTCATGATAACAAAAATAAAGCCAAACTATAACCAGGCTGCAACTGAATTAGACACACAATAACACTGACCAAAACAAAGCAAAGGTATGACCAAAGCAAAGCCAAATTACACCGATTCATAACCAAAGTAAAGGTGAATTAAAAAAAAAAAAAAAGCCGAATTATAACCAGAATAAAAGGCAATTATAACCAAAATCACACCAGGATAACGCCGATTTATAACCAAAACAAGGCTGTGCCGCTGCTGGCCCAGGGCAGGCCCAAAATACCCTATATATAAAAAAAAAAAAAAGATATAAAAAAAAAAAAAAAAAAAAAAAAAAAAAAAAAAGCCGAATTATAGCCAGAATAAAAGGCAATTATAACCAAAATCACACCAGGATAACGCCGATTTATAACCAAAACAAGGCTGTGCCGCTGCTGGCCCAGGGCAGGCCCCGGGAACCGGCGGAGGATGGGGGGGACCGGGAGGGGGCTCCGGGCCCCTCAGGGCTGTGGGGGGGTCGGGGGGCCCGTCCCCCTCAGCGGGACCCCGCGCCCGCGCGGGCCGTCACCTCGCAGCTGAACTCCATCTCGGCGTCCATGGTGGCGATGCGCACGGTGAAGGTCTTGGGCTGCTTGCGCTTGAGGGAGCTGAAGCTCATGCGGGACGCGATGGCCCCGGCCATGGCGGCGCAGCGCGGTCAGCGCGGCGGCGGCGCCATGGCGGCCTAGCCCCGCCCCCTCCGCCGTGGCATTGGCCGCGCCGCGCAGTGCGCCCGTCCCCGCCGCACCTCGCAGCCAATAGAAAGGGGTGTCCTGGAGAAGCGGGAGCAGAAGCGTCTGTGATTGGGTAGACTGGACGCCGCTCAAGGGAAGGGGCGGGGTGAGGCGGGGCCGTTAAGAGCCGTGTGAGGAAGCGATTGGGCGTGGCGGTGTCGCCCCCTGGCGGCGGGCGGAGCGCTCTGCTTGCGGGGACGAGCGCCGGGACCCGGCGTGGGGGACACGGGGACACGGGACACAGGGACACGGGGACACGGGGGATACGGGGACACGGGAGGGTGTCAGGTGACCCTGGCGTGTCTGGGGCCCGTGAGGTGTCAGGGGTCCGCGGGGTGTTCGGATCCGGGCGTGTCCGGCGTCTCTATGTGCTCCGTGGGGAAGCCGGGTTCTCTGGAGGGTCAGAGGGGTGTCCGGGGTCCCCGGGCCAGTGGTGTCTGGGCTCAGTGGGGTCCCCAGGGTCTGTGGGGGTCCGGGATCCCCCGAATGTCCAGGGTCCCTGGAGTGTCAGGAGCCCGTGGGGTGTCCAGGGGTGGGTACGGTCTGTGGGGTATAAGGGTCCTTGGGATGTCAGGGATCGCTGAGATGTGAGGAGTTTGTGGGTCCGTGAGGTCCTTGAGGTGTCCCCGGTACCGTGACCCCGTGTCACGGGTGTCCCCAGTGCCGTGGGTGTCCCCGCAGGACGGGGTTCCCTGGGGGACACGGGGTGCTGCCCTCTCGGTAGTTGCCATGGCGAGGGGACCCACGCGGTCCCGGGGGCACCCGGGTGTCCGGGCTCGTGGGTGGCGGCAGAGACTGGGACCAGCGCCCGGGGCGGGCGGGGACACGGGGCAGGACCGGGACTGCGGCTGGGACTGGGACTGGGATCGGGACTGGGACTGCGGCTGGGACTGGGACAGGGACTGGGATCGGGACTGGGACTGCGGCTGGGACTGGGACAGGGACTGGGATCGGGACTGGGACTGCGGCTGGGACTGGGACAGGGACTACAATCGGGACAGGGACTGGGATCGGGACTGGGACTGCGGCTGGGACTGGGACAGGGACAGGGACTGGCACCAATAGCGGGACCCCGGCCGGCGCTGGGAGCAGAAGCAGCGGCGGTAATGGAACTGGGACCGTCGCTGGGGTGATGGGGCGGGAGCTGGGACCCGTCACCAGCGCAAGGGAACGGGACCGCCACCCCGATCGGTGTGGGATAACGGGCTGGGAACTGGGACGAGCACGAGGGAACGAAACAGAAACTGGGACCCGCTCAGAGTTGCCGGGATGGAAACTGAGTCCAGCACGGGAGGGACTGGCACCAGCTCACAGTTACTGGGATGGGAACTGGGACCAGTTCAGGGTTACTTGGACAGAAACCGGGACCAGCACAGGGGGACGGGCAGGAGCAGGAGGGGGAAGGGAGCAGCGGGAGCCGAGAAGCCCCCCCGACACCCCCGGGGGGACCCAGGCGTCCGGGAGCAGCCCCCGCCCCCGCAGCGGGAAGAAAGGGGCCTCTGTCCCCGCGGGGACAATGGGGACATTGATGGGGACCCCCCCCGGCCCCCCGCTGCCTCCGCAGGACGTTGGGGTAGGAGGGCTGGGGGGCTTCTGGGGGGCCCTTCCTTGGCCCCCTGCCATGGGTGACCGCCCTGCCCAGCCCTGCCGGCCCGTGCCGAGGGTCCACGCCTTTGGAAAGGGGGAGCAGGCACTGCGGAGGGACCCCCGCACCCCCCCTGCCATGCAGGGCTGGCTGCACAAGCAGGTGAGGCGGGGGGCGTGGGGAGGGCTGGGGAGGGGACTCAGGGCTGTGTGGGGTTTGAGGTGAGGGATTCTGGGGGGTTTGTGGGTTTTGGGGGGACCTGGGGTGTGGGGAGGAGCTAGAGGGGTGTAGGGGGTTAGGAGGGTCTGGAGTGTCAGGGGGTCATGGGGCTGGATGTGGGGCTTGGGGGGGGGCATCAGAGGGAGTTGTGGGGGGTCAGTGGGTGGTGAGGGAGGGTTATGGGGTTTGGGGAAATCAGAGACATGGTCAGACCCGGCAGTGTGGGGCGGTTATGGGGTCTGGGATGGAAGAGGTGCGGGAGGTTATGGGGTTTGGGCGTCTGGCGTGGCAGAGAGTCCTGGGGGGTGAGGAGAATGGGGGAATCGGAAGGGATTGAGCGGTCTGGAGCAGCAGAGGGTCCCGGGGGGGGATGGGCTGCGGGGGATCAGCCCCCGTTCCCGCCCCCCCCATCCTTCTCAGGACAGCTCGGGGCTGCGGCTCTGGAAGCGCCGCTGGTTCGTACTGGTGGATCTCTGCCTCTACTACTACCGGGGTGAGGGGGGCACGGGGTCTGGAGACACCCGGAGGGCCTGGGAGTCGGGGGCTGGGGTGACCTGGCGTCCCTGGGGGGATCAGGGATCCCGGAGTGTCTCTGGGTCATTGGGGGGGCTCAGGGGTCCTGGGGTGTTGGGCAGCCCTTGGAGGACCAGGAATCCCGGGGGATTGGGGGTCCCTGGGGCAGTCAGAGATCCCAGTGGGATCAAGGATCCCTGGGGTATTTGGGTGTCTCTGGGGGAGTCAGGGATTCCCCGGGGATTGGGGGTCTCTGGAGCATTGGGAATTCCTGGGGATCGGGGCTCCCTGGGGACTTGAACAGTCCTTGGTGGGGTTCTATGGTCAGGGGGGCCCCGAGGAGGTTTGGGGGCATCAGAGGAGGTCCCTGGCATCTCCTTGATGGTACTGGAGACCTCGGGGTGCAGATGGGCGCTCTGGTGCCCCCCACTGTGACCTCCTCTGCCCCCAGACAGCAGCGAGCAGCAAGTGCGGGGCGGCCTCCCCCTGCCCGGCTACGAGATCCGCGTCCTGCCCGCCGCCCCCCGCGCCCCCCGCGCCCCCCAGTTCCTCTTCACGGTCAGCCCCGGCTCCCTGGGTCCGCGGATCCGGGGGTGCCCTGCGTGGGGGGGCCGGGACCCCGACACCTGAGCCCGGTCTAGCAAGGCTCCCCCATTCCCAGGCTGAACACGCCGGGATGCGAACGTACTGCCTGGGGGCCGAGAGCGCCGAGGAGCTGCACGCCTGGGTCTGTGCCCTGCGCCGGGGGGCATCGGCCCTGCCCGGGTGAGTGGGGCTCGGGGGGCACCGGGGGGCACGGGTCTGTGGGGGGGCACAGAGAAGGGCTGGGTTTGGAGGGGTTTGTGGGGTCCCAGGCGGCAGGAGGAGGTTGGAGAATTTGGAGAGGGACAGAGAGGGTTTGGGGAAGCTGGGGAGGGGGGCACAGAGGGTTTGTGGGGTCTTGGGGGCAGTTAACCCTTTAACTCCTGTTTTCTCCCCGCTTCCCAGCTCGGCCCTCTCGCTCTCCCAGCAGGCGCTGCAGGAACCCCGGGGTGCGGATCCTCCCTCTGCCCCACTGCCCACGCACTCCCCGGGTGAGGGGCCCGTGCCCCCTCCTTGCTGCCCCCCAGTCCCTCCACTGCCCCACAGCGAGGTGAGATCTGGGGTGGGGGAGAATTGAAATGGGGAAAATATGAGGGGGGCAAGTACTGGGGTGATTGTGGTGCAGATCCGTGTGGTGAGGGGAGTTTGGGGCAAAACGGGAGGACTGAGAGGTGGGAGGGGGTTATGGGGCAAAATGGGGGGGCTATGGTGCAGGGGGCGGCTATAGGAAAACTGAAAACAGTGGGTAGAAAATCTTGCCTTTTTTCTGTCAAGTCCTCACAGTTCTCTTCTTATACAAGGTATTTTTTTTAGTTTGTTTATGAGAACAGCATTCGTTCAGTGGCTCTTTCTGCGTGTGAAGTGACTTGCTTCAGGCTGTCTTTTTTCTTCCCTTTTTCTCCCTAACTCAGTCTGTCCTTTCTTTACTGTCAAGCTTGCTTAGGTAACAGTTCTTGGTGTATCTATTTAATGAGCAGGTCCGTGCACTAAAGGCAGCCAACTACACTGAAGGGGGGGGGGGGGGGGGTTGGGGGGGAAAAGGGGGGGGGTTGGGGGGGGGGGGGGGGCTATCGGCCTGTGGGGGGCTCGGGAGCAGAGAGAAGGGGCAAGGGGGCAGAGGGGGGCTGTGGGCAGAGCGGGGCTGTGGGCAGAGCGGGGCTGGGGCAGGAGCGGCTCTGGGTCCGGCCGGAGCAGCGCTCCCTGTGCCCTCCCGCAGGTGCCCCAAGCCCAGGAGGAGCCCCCGGCGCGGGAATGTCCCCCCAGGGCTGGGGACACGCCGGGGGGGCCGCGGGGACACCCCCAGCCCGAGCCCGCAGGTGAGACCCGGCCACGCCCCGGCCACGCCCCGGCCACGCCCCTTGGCCGAGCGGCCCCGCCCATTCTGGCCCCGCCTCCCCAGCGCGGAGTCCGAGGAAGCCCCGCCCTCCTGGAGCAGCTCCGCCGGAGCGAGACATCGGGACCAGTCAGCCACCGGCCTCTCCAACCGCCTCTTCTGATTGGCTGCCGAGCGCCGCCGGGCTTGAGGGCACCGCCCCCGCTCCGGCATCCAATGAGGCGTCGCGGCGGCGGCGGGAGGGGCGGGGACCCCTGAAACCCCCGCCCTGAGAGCCCCCGCGGCATCCCCAGATCCCTCATCCTGCCCCAGACTCCGCGTCCACCCCGCTCCCCGCGCCTCCCCCGGCGGCGACACCCCCCATCCTCCTCCCCCCTGGACCCTGCGGCTCCCCCGGACCCGCACCCCTTCTGCTCCCCGCATCCCCCCGGGTGGAGACCCCACCCTGAGCCCCTGAGACCCACATCTTCCTCGCTCTCCGCATCACCCGCATCCCGCTCCCCTGAGTCCTCCCATTCCCCCCGCACCCCGCATCCCCCCGGGCCGGGACACCGTATCCCCCTTCTGAGACCCCTGAGCCCCACTCCTGAGACTCCCACGCCCCGGCAGGGGACCCCCGCTCCCGTGGGCTTCCTGATCCTCCCTTGGACCCCGCATCCCCCCGCTCTCCGCATCCCCCCGCTCCCCGCATCCCCCCGGGCGGGGACCCCGCACCCCGAGCCCCCCGAGCCCTCCCCGGGCCCCGCTGCCCTCCCGGAGCCGGCGGGCGGCCCCCAGAGTGGCCCCACGGTCGTTGCCTCGCTGGGGACAAAGGTCTGGCCGCGGCTCGGACCCGGGGCCGAGGGGCCCCGTTCTACCCCCGCCGCTGCCCGACCTTCTCCGGGCACCGGAGCCACGCTGGGGCTGGGGGGAACCCCGGGGACAGGCTGGGGGGCTGGGGGCTGCTCCCATCGCCCCACGTCCCCTTGTCCCCTTGCCCGTGGAAGGGTCACCAGCTCTGGAGCAGCCCCTGGGTACAGGGGGTCCTGTGGGGGGTGTGCCCCTGCCCATGGAGGGGTCACTGCCACTGCAGTGGCCACTGGGGCTGAGGGGGCTCCCATGGGGGTGCCCCCCTTGTCCCACACCCCCACACCAGTGTCCCTGCTCTGCTGGGCAGCGTGGCCAAACCCCTTTGGATCCAGGGGGACAGACTGGAACTGGGGACAGAGCCAGCCCAGACCGGGGACGGGGCTCCCAGTGTGAACTGAGCAGAAGCCCGTGGAGCCCCGGGGCTCCCTGCAAGCCGGACAATGGAGGCAGCTGCCCGCAGGACTGGCACTGAGGCCTCTGCATCCTGCTTTGCCGGCCATTCCCGGTGACTCCCGGCCATTCCCGGTGACTCCCGGTGTCCCCCCGCCCGCTGTCCCGCAGGGGGTACTCCAGGGATGTGGAGGGCAGCTGGTTCCGCTCCCTCTTCGTGCACAAGGTGGATCCCCGCAAGGATGCTCATTCCAACCTCCTCTCCAAGAAGGAGACCAGCAACCTCTACAAGATCCAGTGTGAGTGCTGCTGCCGGGAGGAAGGCAGGCACAGCTGGGCTGCACCCCTCGCCCACCCGCTGGGACCCCTTTCCCCTTCCTTCCCCCGTTCCCAGCCCCTCTCTCCTGTCCCTGCAGTTCACAATGTGAAGCCGGAATGCCTGGAAGCCTACAACAAGCTGACGTGAGCACACTGAGGGGCCTTCCCAGCATCCCAGTGGTGTTGGGGTGCTGTTCTGGACTGACAGGAGTGGGAGGGCCCCTGGAGCTCCTGGGTGGATCTGAGTCCCTGTACTGTGCCTTTCCCTCCCTGTGAAATGGATGCATCCCCCAGGCTGTGCCGGATCCTGTTTGGGAGGGCAAAGAGGGGCACTGGGAGGGTTTTGGGGCGCTGCCCCCCACCCCACTGCCCCCCTCTGTGCCCCCACAGAGAGGAGGTGCTGCCCAAGCTCCATTCGGACCCCGACTACCCCTGTGACCTGGTGGGCAACTGGAACACGTGGTACGGCGAGCAGGACCAGGCAGGTGAGGCTAGGCAGCGGCTCCTGCTGCCTCTGCTGCCACGGGCAGAGGTCCTGGTGGGATTTTGGGGCGCTGCTCCCCTTCCCCACCCCAAACCCCTCTTTGCAGTGCACCTGTGGCGCTTCTCGGGCGGGTACCCGGCGCTCATGGACTGCATGAACAAGCTCAGGCAGAACAAGGTACCCCCGGGGTGAGCCCCCCCTGTGCCCCACGCCCCCGGCCCGTGTCACCCCCACCCTGACACCCCCGGCTGGGGCTGTCCCCAGGAGTACCTGGACTTCCGCAAGGAGAGGAGCCGGATGCTGCTGTCCCGCAGGAACCAGCTGCTCCTGGAATTCAGCTTCTGGAATGAGCCCCAGCCCCGCCAGGGACCAAACATCTACGAGCTCAGGACCTACAAGCTGAAGGTGGGCATCAGCCTGTGCCTCGGGGGGGTCTTCAGGCTGGTGTACCCCGGTTTTGGGGGGCAGCTCCCCAGATTCCTCCTTCTGGGTGAGGAGACCCCAAGCTGGGTGAGCAGGGGGGTTCTGACTGGTTTTCCTCCCCCGTTTCCAGCCAGGGACCATGATCGAGTGGGGCAACAACTGGTAAGGCACTGGTTTTCCAGCATGGAGGGATCCAAGTGGGAAAAGCTCCCTCTGGAGAAGGGGGGACCCCTGGGGCAGCCCCCCATGTGTCCCCTGCTTCGTGCAGGGCTCGGGCCATCAAGTACCGCCAGGAGAACCAGGAGGCAGTCGGGGGGTTCTTCTCCCAGATCGGGGAGCTCTACGTGGTGCACCACCTCTGGGGTAAGGGGGTCACCCCTGGGGGTCCCCCGGCCTGGGGGCTGTGCTGGGGGGCTCAGGGTGCCCCCTCATCCTCTCCCCACAGCCTACAGGGATCTGCAGTCTCGGGAGGAGACCAGGAATGCGGCCTGGAGGAAGAGGGGCTGGGATGAGAACGTTTATTACACCGGTGAGTGGGACCCCACCCGCTTTGGGGACGCCCTGGCCGTGCTGGGGACCCCCTGGCCTCACCTCTGTCTGCTTTGCTCCCCCAGTGCCGCTGATCCGGACCATGGAATCCCGGATAATGATTCCCCTGAAGATCTCCCCCCTGCAGTGATTTGGGGCCGTGCCGGGGGGGTCTCCCTGCACCCCCAGGGGCTCCCTGCCACACCCTGGAAGGGCTGGGGGGTTCTGCTCCCCGCGGCTCCCAGCTCTCCCCCAACCCCATTTTGGGGTGCCCTGGGGGGGTTGAGAGCCAGGAGGGGAAGGTGGGAGCCCCCCATCCTGTGGTGGGTCCCCAGGATGGTGCTGCTGGGGGGGCTGTGGAGGTGGGGAGGGCTTAATTGCTCTTGATGGGCCCAGCGGGTGCCTTTGCTGCCAATTAAATATTTAATATGCTAAAGCCTAGGCCCCTCTCGGGGTGGGGAGGGCGGGACTGGGGGGGCTTGGTGTGACCCCCCAGGCTGGTGTCACCCTGCCCCAAATCATGGGTGTTTCCTGCACTGAAGGACCTCCACCCATGGGTACTGGGATACACTGAGGGACCCCCCAAAACCTCAGTGCCACTGGAGACCCCTTGCGAAGCCCATGGATACCCCCAAGTGCCATCAGGGACCCCATCCCATGCTCCCCTCAAGGTCATGGATACACCCAGCACCAACAGAGACCCATCCAATGCTCCCCCAAGCTCCTGGATCCCCCAGCACCACTGGGCACCCCAATGCAAGGCCCAGTCCAGCCCATGGGTACCCCCAAGGCCACTGGGGACCTCATCCCAAGGCCCTGAAACCCCCCTTGCTAAGGTGGGCACCATTCCATGACCCTCCAAGGCTATGGATGCTCCCAGTGCCACTGGAGACCTCTTCTCATGCCGTTCTCCGCGCAGAGATCTCCCCAGTGCCATTGGGGACCCCATCCCCACCTCCCCCAAGCCCACGGATCCTACCACCACCACCAATGACTCCATCCTGTGCCCCTCCCAAGCCCCTGTGTGCCCCCCACCCCACTGGGGATCCCATCCCAAGCCCATGGGTACCCCCACTGCCATCCCAAGCCCTCCCAACCAATGGGCACCCCCAGTGCCCCTGGGGACCCCATCCCAGGCCCATGGACATCCATCAGTGCTTCTGGGACACCTATCCAAGCTCCCCCCGTTCCCGTGGGTGTCCTTCTGCACCAGGACCCCCCAATGCCACCAGAGCCCCCGGTGTGGAGGTCTCCCATGATGACCACGCCCCTTGGTTAAGCCACGCCCATTTCCGCGGAGCCACGCCCCCAGCCCCTTGCGGGTCCTCCAGGATGCCAGGTCCGCTAGGAGGCGCCTGTAGCAGCGGCAGTCTCTCGCCGCCGCTCCGCGCCGCGCTCGGCCGCTCCGTGACGTCACTTCCGGAGGCGCGGAGCCGAGGCCGCGGTGAGTGCCGGGGTGAGCCGGGACCCCCGGAGGCGATGGGGGGAACGGCCCCGGCCCCTTGGGCTCCGCAGGGCGGGAGGTCCGTGGCCCGGTGTGCTAGGGGCTCAGTGGAAGTGGAGGCTCCTGGTCTAGAGGGGCGAAGGCCCCGTGCTGAGGGAGCTCTGAAGCCTCGGGCCCGGTGTGCGGGGCTCGTGAGGGCCGAGAGTCCCCGGCGTGAGGGTCTGGGGCGGCTCTGAAGGAGTGAAGGGCTCTGGGCTCGGTGTGCGGGGCTCTGGGGGGGGCTCGCAGGAGAGGACGCCCCGGGATGGGTGTGCGGGGCTCTGGAGGAGCGAAGGGTCCGGCTCTGTGAGGGGTCTGGGGGCTCCGCTGAGGCAGAAGCCGCAGTCCGGTGTGCTGCAGTCCGGGGGCTCAGGGCGGGGTTGAGCGCTCGGGCCCGGGGTCTCAAGGGAGCTCAGGGGCACTGGGGGACCGGGGGGGCTGTGGTGGAGCAGACCCCGGGCCCGCCGTGCTGGTCCGGGGGGCTGGAAAGGGCTGGGAGGTGCAGGATGGAGGGAGGCACAGGGGACACTGCAGAGCCCAGGCGGGGCTGGCGGGGGGAGCCGGGGAGGGCCCCGGTCCAGGCGGGTTTGGCCCCCACGGACTCGCCCCGTGCTCCCTCCCAGCCCTGCCGGCAGCACCATGTCCTCCGAGTCCAGCAAGAAGAGGAAGCCCAAGGTGATCCGCACGGACGGGGTCCCAGCCGAGGGCAAGCGGGGCAAGGGCGACACGGACCAGGTACAGACGTGCCCAGGGCCCTGCCCACACCCCTCTGTGCTGGCCCGGCTTTCCCTGCTGGA